AGGGAACCCCCGCCTGGGGGAGCAGATACCCCGAAGCCTGCTATGGAGAAAAAGAGAAGAAGAAATCACTAGCTGAGTCTTCGAAGCCAAAAAGTACTAAGGCTCAAAAGCCCGAGGCCGATTTAGTATCCTTAACTCGGGAAACGACCAAAGATCTTTGCGCGCGGATGAAGAGAATGATGAATGCCCGCTAGCACCTAGGGGGAGAAGAAGTGCTGCTGCTTTGAAGTCTACTGAGCCGAAGGTGGCTGAGTTAGAGGCTGCAGGAATGGAGGCCGTCGAGGCGGTCCCGACCCGAACTGAGGGAATTATTAAAGGGGGCCTAGATGAAGTCCCCGGGCCGACCAACGACCAAAACACATCGGGTGCCGAGGGGCACCTGGTCGATGAACCCGAAGAAACCAATGATGAAGCCCCTCGAAGGTGGGAGAGGGCCCCTGTCAAACCAGTCGAGATGATCAACGTAGGTGAGCCTCTGTCGGACCCATCATTCTCCCGTGGGCAAATACGGGATGCCCGAGATATGAAAACTTCCGTTGTGGGGACATCCCCCCGGAGAGAATAGTATGTTTGAAGGATATTTTACTGGGGTTGAGGAAGGATCTGATATCGACGCCTCATTGATCTTTGAGGAATCCGAGAAGCTTCGGCAACTGGCAATCTTAACTTTGACCGCTGTATGTTGAGTTTCGATTCTTGTTTTTCCGACTCTCTTCTTTTGTGTCTCAGGCCTTAAAGTTCTCTCACCAAGCCTTTTCCAAGTCACAAGAAGTGTTGGCTCATTGTGAAGACGAACTTAGGAAGCTCGTTTCTGAATTGGACGAACTTAAGGCCCTTTATGCTCAAAAGGAGGGGGAGCTAGGTGACCTTCGAGCATATTTCGAGAGGATGTCTCGAGAGCGGGACGATCTTGATGAGCAGGTAATATGACCTTCGTGTGCTTAGTTTTGTGCTCTATCCAATTAAGCGCTAAATACCTTGCTTTGATTCTTTTAGCTTAAGAGAAAAGATGATCTAATGTGAGAGGGGCTTAAAATCAGAGATACTGAAATCCTTGGGCTGAAGCAGCGTATGGATGAAGTGTCCTCCGACAAAAGAAGCCCTCCAAGAGAGGTTGATCTCTGTTGAGCATCAACTCCAAGAGGCAAAAGGAGAAAGCCGTAAGTACAGAGACCTCCACAGCGAGTCAGTTGCTAAGCTGTCTGCAGCTAAGTCCGAAGCTGATGTGCTCATATCCTCATATCGAGATGATGATGCTGTTGCAAATGCTCGAGCCAGGAAGGTATCAAAAGAGGCCGAGCTTAAACTTTCTCGAGCATTGAAATATGCCCGATTAAGGTCTCGGAGACAGGCTCTCGAGGATATATATATAGGGGGCATCGATTTGTCTGCCGAAATTGAGAGGGTTAAGGCCCTAGAGGAAGAATCAGCAACTCTGATTTCTTCTGATGATGATTCAGCCAGTGATTCGACCAGCAGCTTGGAGGATGATGAAGACGAAGGTGAGGTCCCTGAGGGGGAGGAGGCCGTTGATGCTCCAGGGGTCGAGGGCTAAACCGTTGGAGGCACAACTTCTGAGGGAGCTTCATCCGGTCAAGTGAACCCGACGACACATTAGGTTTTTATCTGCTCCCTTTTTGTGTAAGGGCTTTAGGCATAAGCCTTGTAATTATGTTTTTGTGAACTTCTATTACGTATATAAGGTTCTTTTCTCTTAGTTTGGTGTGTCGGACTTATGATATAAACTTCGATGCCTGTCAATAACCAGTTTGGTGTGTCGGACTTATGATATAAACCCCTCAGGTTTTCATGCTCGATGAGTGATTGATAATAGTTGACCGTTCGGTGTCAGCTCCTCGAGTCAAATTTAGACTCGGGCTCGTTGACCCTTAAGTGTTCAACGTATTGGCCCTTAGGAATTTAGGCTGGCCCTTAGGCTCTTACGCATTGGCCCTTAGGCTCTTTTTATGCTGGCCCTTAGGCTCCTAGGCATTGGCCCTTAGGCTTTTTTTAGGCTGGCCCTTAGGCTCTTACGCATTGGACCTTAGGCTCTTTTTAGACTGGGTTGATGCGACCTCTAATATGGCTATAGTTTTCCCTCATTTTGGCTAAAGACTTAAGAAGTTTTGATTATCCCTTGGCATATTTTATGTTCGTCTGACTCTTCGATGGCTCAGATGAGAACCTCGATTATGAGTCGATATGCGACGATAGTAGAGTACCTTTGAAGGCTTGCTCGAAGGTTGAGTTTTTCGAAACCTTTTTATCGAAGGCTGATTGTTTTCGAAGCCTTTTTTATTGTTGGAGCTGATAGTATCGAAGCTCTTTTGCTTATGCCAAGGGTATCCTGATTAACCGGTTCTTTTTGAAGTACTTTCGAAGTATCTGGAGGCCTTTAGTTTTATGGCGGCAGTCGGACGTCTCCGAGCCACGTTAATTTGCTCGTAGCCTTTTAGTTCGACCGTAGTCTTTATGTTTGGCCGTAGCCTTTAGTCCCCGTGTGCGGTGACCTTGGCGTCTATATCGAGGATATGCCTTTTTAGGGGTCTTACAAGTTTGAATATATAGCCTTGGCCTTAATATCGGGGGTTATGCCTTTTTTAAGGTCTTTTAAATTTGAGCACGCCTTGTTGAAGGACATACAGATTTGATGTTGCCTCAGTGAAGGCTTATGAGCTTGAAGTTTTTAAATTTGAGCACGCCTTGTTGAGCACGCCTTGTTGAAGCACGCCTTATTACCCCTTTGATTCTTCTCTCATCCTCCATTCATTTTTCACCTCTCCCCTCTTTGAATCTATCTTTCTCATCATCATGTGAGCTGTGGTGCAAACTAACAAAGAGTCATTATCATATATAGATAGGCTCATCGCTAACAACAGCACTTGAGCTATATCCTTCTCAACATGGAGTTGGGATCCTGTATACGGTCAAAATCGGACTTGCCCATTTTTATGATTAATCGAGACCAGGGGGTGACAGGCCAGGGTTCGACCCCATGCCATAACGGACCGAGACACGACGTAGATGGCCGAGCTCGTGACTCAGGGACCAATCGAGATCGAGACCAGCCTTGATCGAGATCGAGCGGGGTAAAAATCGAGGGGAGCCTGCCGAGTCAAATAATGGAAAGCCGAGATATCCACGATCGGGCGATCACGGCGGAAATCCCGGTACGTATCAAGAAGAGGCCGATTAATTAGCCAATCATGAGATTTCTTACTATATTTAGAATTCTACCAAGAATAGGACTCCCCTACTATGTAAAGGGGGTCTGATCATTTGTAAAAAATATCATATTTACGTTACATAAAGCAATACACTGTTTTTCTCCTAAGCTCTCAATATTCTGTTACTTTGTTCTTGTATCAACTGAATCCTCACTTGGTTCTAAAGCGATCAAATTCGAGGGCCAAGGCTACTTGATTCGTTTGGTTTGCTTTAATTTCTATTTACTGTCAATTTCAATATCATACGTTTTCTCTCAGTTTGTGCAAAGTAAAATCACGTGTCCTTAAAACCACAATATAAATTCAATTGTTATCCGTTTTTAGGGTAAACAGATTGGCGCCCACTGTGGGGCTAAGGATAATAGTGATTGCCTGGTGCAATTTTCGCAACACAAACTGTTTTACGTTTGTTCTTTGAAGTGTCTTTGGTTACAAGATTAAAAAATGTCAAACTCTCAGTCAGATCCTCAACACATTGACAATGATCTGAGCCACCACGGCGAGAATGAGAACATTGCACCAGCAAAAGTTGTACCCCCTGCTGGCCTTGATGGAGTTCCGGTTATAGACCCAATCGACGTCAGTTCACTTGTATCCATCAACGAAAATGTGGCCGTCGTTCCCGAAAGCAGCGTTCGTGGGGTTACCCGATCAGTAACTCAGAATGCACATGGCGGTGAAGATGGCGGGATCAACATGCGGGTAATCTTCGAAATGTTGTAGGCCCAACAGGCAGCAATAGCTCAGCTCCAAAATCTGAACCACACGCCAAGCAGGGTCAAACTCTAGCCATCCCAAGAAGTTGTACACAGGGTCGAATCATCTTCGAGAAAATTGAATGAGAAGGAATCGGAGACCAATCCCACTATTATAAAAATGCTCGAAGAGTTGACAAAGCGAATCGAGACCAGGGAAAAGAAGATCGAGGAAAACGATAAGAAGGTGGAAACCTATTACTCCAGGGTCGACCAAATCCCGGGGGCACCACCGATATTGAAAGGACTAAATTCCAAAAAGTTTGTCAAAAACCTTTCCCCCCAAGTGCGGCTCCAAAGCCGATCCCCAAGAAGTTCCGTATACCCGATATTCCTAAGTATAACGAGACGACTAATCCAAACGAACACGTCACCTCATACACGTGTGCTATCAAAGGAAATGACTTGGAAGATGACGAGATCAAATCCGTCTTGCTGAAGAAATTCAGGGAGACTCTATCGAAGGGTGCTATAATATGGTATTATTATTTACCGCCTAATTCTATTGATTCGTTTGCTATATTTGCAGATTCTATTGTAAAGGCACACGCCAGAGCCATTAGGCTTGCAACAAGAAAATCGGACCTTTTTAAGGTAAGGCAGAAGGACAACGAGATGCTCAAGGAATTCGTATCTCGATTCCAAACGGAACAAATGGATTTGCCACCGGTCACCGACGATTAGGCAATTCAAGCTTTCACTCAATGCCTCAACTGGAGTTCCATAGCTTCACAGCAGTTGAAGCAAAATTTGATCGCGTATCCGGCTGTCACTTGGCCGATGTACATAATCAGTATCAGTCGAAGATCACGGTCGAGGATGATCGACTAGGGACTCCTTCTAAGTCCGTTTATCCTAACAGGCCCGTGGATAGAATTAAGAGGGATATCGACCTAGAACCAAGGTCGAATAGAGATCGATATCAACCATATAACGGAGACCGTAGAGGCAGCGGATATGAGCAAAACTTTGCGTGGAATGAGAGGAGAAATGATCGAGGTCAAAGTTCACGGGACTCATGAACAAGGGTAGTTTTGACAGGGATGCCGGGCCCAAAGAAGCGCCAGAATTGTCGGAATATAACTTTATAGATGCATCTGCCATCGTATCACCCTTCGAACGTATCAAGGATACTAGATGGCCTCGACCTCTGCAGACCGATCTGTCCCAGAGAACCAAATATGCAAGTATCGTGGAACCCATGGCCATAAAACAGAAGATTGCAGGTAGCTAAGGGAGGAAGTAGCCCGATTGTTCAACGAGGGGCATCTTCGGGAATTCTTAAGCGATCTGGCCAAGAATCACTTCAAAAATAGAGATTCTAGTAGACAGATCAAGCAAGAAGTACCACTGCACGTGATTCACTTGATCATTGGAGGAGTTGATACTCCTCAAAAACTAGTATTAAAATGCACCAAGGTGTCGATCACAAGGGAGAAGCGAACTCGGGATTACGTACCGGAAGGAACCTTGTCTTTCAATGACGAGGATGCAGAAGGGATCGAACAACCCCATAACGACGCACTAGTAATATTTATTCTGATGAATAAGACTCAAGTTAAGTGTGTTTTGATTGATTCAGGTATCTCGGCCAACATAATTCCATCGAGGGTTGTAGAACAGCTCGGCATACAGGATCAGGTTGTACCCGTGGCCCGATTTCTAAACGGCTTCAATATGGCATGTGAAACCACCAAAGGCGAGATAACTTTTCCAGTAAACGTGGCTGGGACCATCCATGAAACGAAATTCCATGTGATCGAGGGCGATATGAGGTATAATGCCCTATTCGGGAGACCGTGGATCCATAACATGAGGGAAGTGCCTTCGACCCTTCACCAGCTTCTAAAGTTCCCACGCTAGAGGGAGTCAAAACAGTCCATAGAGAGAAACCCACCACCAAGGAAATGTTTGCCATCGATGCAGGGATACCGATATCGGCGCTCTCATCAATAAAAGTTCAAGTTCGAAGGGAAAGCAGGAGGTCAAATAGCAACGACAGACACCGGCCTCGACCCAATCAGGGAAATAAGGGATTGACGAGGATGATGACTACGAGGTTCCTCGATCCTTCATAGTCCCCGATAACTTTGATGCCACCAAGTCAACGGTCGAAGAGCTGGATCAAATCGTACTGGTCGAACATCAGCCCGAGCGAAAGGTGTACCCGGGCACGGGGCTAGCCCCCGAGCTCAAGAGAAATCTTATTCAATTCCTTAAAACTAACATGGATTGCTTTGCTTGCTCCTATCTCAATATGATTGGGATCCCACCAGAAATTACCACCCATAAACTGAGCTTGGACCCGAAATTCCATCCGGTGAAGCAATAAAGAATGCCCTAATCCGAGGTCAAACACGCTTTCATCAAAGACGAGGTAACCAAACTTCTCAAAATAGGGTCTATCCGGGAAGTAAAATATCCGGAATGGTTAGCGAACGTAGTAGGAGTCCCTAAGAAGGGAAACAAACTTAGAATGTGTGTAGATTACGAAGACCTAAATAAAGCATGCCCCAAGGATTCTTTTCCTTTGCCTAATATCGATCGTATGATCGATGCCACGGCCGGCCAAGAGATCCTCAGTTTTCTCGACACCTATTCCGGGTACAACCAAATACGGATGAATCCAAAAGACCAGGAAAAGAGCTCGTTCATCACCCAATATGGTACCTACTACTATAATGTAACGCCATTCAGACTAAAAAATCTTTGTGCGACCTATCAACGCCTAGTAAACCAAATGTTCGAAGAACAAATAGGGAAATATATGGAAGTTTATATTGATGACATGCTAGTTAAGTCCATGTGGGCAGAGGACCATTTGAAGTATTTGCAGGAAACTTTCAGTATACTGAAGAAATACAACATGAAGCTCAACCTAGAAAAATGCGCGTTCGGGGTCAGCTCTGGCAAATTTCTCGGCTTCATGGAATCCAATCGAGGAACCGAGATCAACCCCGACAAAATCAAGGCTATCGAGCATATCACGGTAGTAGACAACGTAAAGGTCGTGCAGAGGTTAACAGGGCACATAGTCGCCCTGGGGCGATTCATCTCGAGGTCCTCCAATAAGAGCCATCGGTTCATTTTATTGTTGAAGAAGAAGAATAACTGCACGTGGACTTCAGAATGCCAACAGGCCTTAGAGGATCTTAAACGGTACTTGTCGAGCCCGCTGCTGCTTCACACGCCGAGGGCAGACGAACAACTTTACTTATATCCGATAGTATCGGAGATAGCGATAAGTGGAGTCCTAGTCCGAGAAGAACAAGGTACACAATTACCTATCTATTATATTAGTCGGACCCTAGTTGAAGCCGAAACTAGATATCCTCATCTAGAAAAGTTAGCAGTCGCTTTGATAAGCGTCTCTAGGAAACTAAAACCATACTTTCAATATCATCCCATATGTGTTGTAACAACTTATCCTCTTCGAAATATTTTGCATAAACCCTAACTTTCGGGGCGATTGGCCAAACGGGCCGTAGAACTCAGCGAGTACGATATTGAGTATCGACCCCGAACAACCATCAAGTCTCAAATCTTGGCAGACTTTGTGGTTGACTTCACGCTAGCCCTAGTGCCCGAGGTTGAAAGAGAATTATTAGTCAACTCGGGTACATCTTCGGGGATATGGACCCTCTGTACTGATGGTGCTTCAAACGTAAAGGGGTCCAGACTCGGCATCGTGCTGAAACTACCTACAGGTAACGTGGTTAGACAATCTATTAGAATAGTAAAATTGACTAACAACGAGGCCGAATATGACGCCGTGATTGCAGGTCTCGAACTAGCCAAAGGCTTGGGAGCAGAGGTGATCGAAGCAAAATGCGACTCCCTCCTAGTTGTGAATCAGGTTAAGGGAACCTTTGAAGTTCGAGAGGAACGATTGCAAAGATACTTGGATAGGCTACAAGTAACTCAACGCCGGTTCAAGGAATGGACTTTGCAACATGTGCCTCGAGATCAAAATAGGGAAGCTGATGCCCTCACAAATCTAGGCTCGTCGGTCGAAGACAATGAACTCAATTCATGGGTTGTCGTACAACTCATGAGGTCAGTGGTCGAAGAAGGCCACGCCGAGATAAACTCCACAAGCTTGACCTAGGATTGGAGAAACAAATACATAGAGTATTTGAAGAACGAAAACTTCCTTCAAATCCAAAGGAATCGAGGGCCCTGGGCATGAAGGCAGCTCGATTTAGCTTGTCCGAAGATGGAACCTTACTCAGAAGGATGTCCGAAGGTCCGCTAGCGATATGTCTGGTACCGGGAGATACCAAGTATGTTATGAGGGAAGTCCACAAAGGCACATGTGGGAACCACTCAAGTGCCGAATCACTGGTTCGAAAGGTAATCAGAGCCGGCTATAATTGGATTGATATGGAAAAAGATGCGAAGGAGTTTGTGCAAAAATGTGACAAATGTCAAAGACATGCTCCGATGATTTATCAACCCGGGGAGTTGTTGCATTCAATTTCATCCCCATGGCCATTCATGAGCTGGGCTATGGACATCGTCGGCCCTCTTCCATCGTTAGCAGGCAAGGCTCAATTTGTTTATTTATGACTGACTATTTCTCTAAGTGGGTTGAAGCACAGGCCTATTAGAAGGTCAGGGAGAAAGAAGTCATCGACTTTATTTGGGACCATATCATATGTCGATTCGGAATACCATCCGAAATTGCATGTGATAATAGAAAATAGTTTATCGGTAGCAAGGTGACCAAAATTCTCGAAAGCCTCAAGATCAAAAGGATTTTATCAACACCTTATCACCCTAGTGGGAATGGGCAAGCCGAATCCACCAACAAAACCATAATACAAAACCTCAAGAAAAGGTTGACCGACGATAAAGGAAAATGGAGAGAAGTCCTGCCCGAAGTCCTTTGGGCGTATCGCATAACTTCGAAGTCCAGTACCGGGCTACTCGATTCTCTTTGGTTTATGGCGCCAAAGCTTTAATGCCGGTTGAAGTTGGGAAGCCAAGCATCAGATTTTGATATGCGATGAAGAAATCAAATGACGAGTCCATGAATACGAGCCTGGAACTATTAGATGAACGACGTTAATCTTCCTTTGTTCGATTTGCTGCACAGAAACAACGAATCAAAAGGTATTACAATCTAAGGGCCAACTTTTGATATTTTAATATCGGGGACTTGGTACTGATGAAGGTCATGTTTAACAACCGAAGTCCGAATGAAGGAATGTTGGGTCCAAACTGGGAATGACCATACAAGATTCTCGAGATCACAGGGAAATGATACTATAAGCTCGGAACGATGGGCGGAGAAAAACTACCGAATAATTGGAACGTAACTCATCTCAAACAATATTACGTCTAAGGTATGAACCCATTTCAAATCTTTCTATTTTTTGACTAACACTTGCGGATTATCGACGAGGACCGGTACGAAGCCTTTAGGTCTGAAAGCACGCATTGCACTCTTTTTCCCTTGAACTGTTTTTGTCCCAAATGGGTTTTTCGGCAAGTTTTTTAACGAGGCAATAGTGGATCATGCTACCTTAGAATTGAAGGTCAATCACGAATCGGTATCAAAGACAATGTTCATAGTATCCGAGATTTCTCTACAATCAACCTCGAATACTTGTGGGGGGGGGGGGGTGGAGGGATTACCCTTGGATATTGAATTATTCTAGCAAGGAAATCATTTCGAAATGAAAGGGTCTCAATAGGTAGGATTTATTGTAAGGGCCAAACGGTAAAAACGAACCGTGCCCACATAGATTTCTTGAGCCCTGACATAAAACATGTACGCATGTATGACTATTTTTGACAGGAATAAAGAGAAGTACTTTGATAGAAAAGCGTCCGCCAAACTGTACAGAGAACCAGGTTCTCTATCTGTTCCCACAGTAAGAAACAGACTATAAAACCAAACAGTATAGGAAACCAGGTTCTCCATTTGTTCCCACAGTAAATTGGCACTAAATAAAAAACACAGAGGAATTTTATGTAGAAAACTCCCAGCTCAACGGGATTAAAAACCACGACCTACCCTTGTAGGATTTCAACTTCACTACTGAGCAATCTTTAGATTACAACCTATTGTAACCTAGGAATTAACCTCTTAATCCCTCACTAACTTGTAACTACACTATTACAAGCCACTTTGTAATAACTCTATTACAAAGACTTAATCACTCACTAAGTTGTAACAACACTATTACAAGCCACTTTGTAATACCTCTATTACAAAGACTTCCAACTCGACTAACTCTACACAAGACACAAACACAATGGTTTATGATTTACAAAGGTTTCCTACAAAATGCTTCTAACTAAGCTAAGTAGGAATTACAAGTGAAGAACAAAATAACAAAGACTCAACAAACCTAAGGAATTAAGATATCTTCAATCTTTGGATCTGGTCCTTGAGGTTGCAGTAGCTTTGTTCTTGAGTGATGTGGTGGCTAGCACTTGAGAGAATACAATGATGTAAGCAAGGTAGGTAAAAAGCTTTCTGCAGAAAGGTGACTGCTACACTGTTCCTGCATTGTAGCGTGTGCAGGTAACACTATCCAGCTAGAGAGTTGAATTCGTACAGTCACCTCGAGAACTGGTAGGGATCTGTTTCCTCAGCTATTCCTTCGACTCTAAAGAGTTGAGCCATATCCCAAACTGGAACATTGTAATCTTAAGGTCTTGAGAATGTTTAAAGCTGTAGAGTTGACTATACGACGACCAGGCGAGCTGATCCATATTTGTTCCCTCTGCTGTTCCCTTATCTGATTTCGTTGAGAATTGAACCAGACATCTGACTGGTTACTCTGAACGCAAGAGAACTAATTGTATCAGGTTCCTTATCTGTTTTTCTCATGAAGTTTGTCAAATCATCAAAACAAAAGATGCATAACTTATCATAATTTCCTTGAAACTATTTAAAGTCTTGGAAAAATTTCCACTTTACAACCCCATACTTTCGATCTATTATGGAAACGAGCCCAAAGGCCGATTGAAACCAGAGTTCGGATAATCACTCCCACACTCGGGACAGCTGTTTATAAAATAAAGTGGAATAGATCGAAATATTGAATGTCGAGGGCATAAGACCTCTTAGGCAACCCTCCAAATTTAAAGGCCACGGCCATACCCGCCCGAGGACTGTTATCTTAGGCAAGCCTGGATAAGTCGGGAAAGCAAGCTCACTGGTCTACACCCGAACTAAAAGGCTACGTCCAATTTAACACGGTTCGGAGACGTCCGAAATCCATAACAAATATAGCCCTTCGAAAAAGAAAAAATTCTTTCACAACCGTTTCTAAAGGCTACCCTCGGCAGAATCTTAAACTTAAGATATTTTCGGGAAAAAACTTTGGTAACACCGAACCCTGATAACGCCTTAACCCAGAATGGCAATAAAGGCAAGGTTTGTTCGAACCCACGAACACAAACTTATTATTTTGTGCTAAGGCATTCCAACCTTTGTGAATACAAGCAGTAAAACAAAGGAAAAATTTTAGAGCCGAAAAGGGTGGAAAGCCTTATATATAAACAATCTTTTTACAAAGGCCAAATCGGCCAAATACAAAACTTACAAAGGCCTAAGGGCTACTTTTACTTCGCGTTTGAGAGATCATTCTCACTCGACTAGAAAGCCTAAGGGCTACATTATTTCGAGTTCGAGCAGGTCCTCACTCGATCATTAAGCTTGAGAGCTACAAACAAGAAACTTCTCTCTCATCCATTTTGGCTTGGTCTACTTCGGTGACCAAGCATCGGAGATATTCAGACACCCATATGGGGGCAGAAAGAACCCGAGCATCCTCCGGAACCGAGACGATAATTGATCGCTTACGCCCGGGATCGATACTAGGGGCCGGAAATTAATTGGTCAGTATAAAGCTCGAGGAATCCTCACTCGAGGTCTTCCTTGGTACATCCACGTCACCCAGGCCAGTGACATCTTCCACTAAAACAAAATAGCCATGGAAAGGGTCTTCTGTTCCATGTACCCCTTCCCGTGGCAAGTCTCCACCACCTGAGCGTCATGCAGCATCGACTCAATGAATGATGGAAACGAGGGGGAATCTACGATATATACCACCCCAAGTAAATCTTTTGGGATACCTCCTTCATCTCGGGGAGCCTCGAGCATGCTGCCTACACCAGCATCGACCGCCTCCTCAATAGCCTTCTCACCTCGAGGTAAAGCGTCTTCAGCTCTTTCTGGCTCGGGGACTTCATCAAATCAAGGCAGAGCAGTTTCAGCTCCCGCCGCCCCAGTAGTTCCTTGAATCTCGGTGCCAGCTCGCACACGGGCCACCAGCCCGGAGTCTTCATCTTCTTCTTCTTCTTTAGCCTCATATACCTTAGCCGTTGGACTGACTCCAAACTTAGAGGGATGACATTCCCCTTGGGTTTACAGGCCGTTTTCTTCTGGGGTTTCTGCCCCTTAGAGTTCGTGGAAGTCGAAATCCTTTTCCTCTTTTTCTCCTTCACCGGCTTCGAGATAGATGGTGGGGGATGGATTTCTTCATCACCAGACGGGGGCCTCAATTGTACGTCCTTCTCGAGGCTCACAAAAGGAAAAAGTCGAGGAAGCTCGATACGAGACCGGAACAATAACCGTTCTAAGAAAGAAAATTACCGTGGTTACGGGCCTCCCATTGATCCTTTGATAACTCTGTCCAAGCACGCTCGGAGTAAGACTTCTGCGACACTAAGCCCTCTACCCATTGCCTGAGATCGGGGATTACTTTCGGCACATGGGCCACAGCTGCAACACAAAATATATAGATGAGGAAAGATGATGAGAAGTAAACGGCAAAGTTAGATATTCAAGGCAAAGCAATACTTATTCATGTTCCATTTTTCAAGAAACGACATGTCTTCGACAGTGATTAGGTCCGAAGTCCTTATTCTGAAAAATCAGCCCATCCAACCTCGGTCTCGGGTCTCGTCTATGCTCGAGAATGGGGGTTTGGTGGCTCGACGGTAAAGCTTGATCAATCATCCTCGATAAAGCCGGGGAATGTAGAGACGTATAAGATGATCAAGGGTAAAAGTATGTGATGTTCTTAACGTCAATACCACACAAGAGGGGGGTGATTTGTGTGGTACCCAATTTTCGCTCTAGAAGAACCTGGTTCTTCTAGGTGTACTAACTACTAATGTTTGCAGAATAATAAGTACATAAAATAAAGAACACAGAGATTTTTACGTGAAAAACACCTGGCTCAAAAGGTGAAAAACCCACGACCTGCTACTCAGTAGGATTTTCCCAAACTTCTACTAAAATCACTGAGCCAAAACAGCATTTACAAAACTCTTTGTAAACCTAAGGATTAACTCTAATCCCGTTGTAGCACACAGCCTCAACTGTTGCGACAACTTTAAGTTAGCATATAACATGAACACTCTAAGTACCTAATACAATTGCTTCTATGAAAGCTGAAAGGTACAAGTTTGAATCACCTACTACAATTGAACTAGAAATAAAGAAAGACACAATGAAATTGGTTCTTCTATCTCGTTCAAGTATCTTCAGGAGTGCACACTCAAATCTCACATAAATTGCTTGCAAAATCGCCTTGCTCTTTTGT